AAACAAAAAACAAAGGGGGTAAGGAAAACAAAAGACGAAAAGGGTGTGAAAGGTAATCAAAATTTCCAAAGAAAAAGAGCAAAAGAAAGGTTGGAGAGAAAAACAAAATACGGAATTAAAAAAAGAGAAGAGAGAAGAAAAACACGGAAAAAAGGGGAAAAAGCAGAAGGGGGTAAAAAAAAAAGGGGTAGAAAAAAATAAAGGAGAGAACAAAAAAGTCACACTAAAATAAAGAAAAAAAGAGCAACAAAAAAAGGACAGTGAGAAAGAAGGGGGGGGCAGTCAGAAAAAAAAACACAAACAAATGGGGGACTTAAAAAATCAGGAGAAAGAAACTAGAAAAAAAAAAGGGTCAAAAGAAAAAAAGAAAAAAAAAAGAAAAAAAAAAAAGGAGCAAATAAAAAAAAAACAACTTGGCAAATAAAAGAAAAGGGCCAAAAAGGGAGCCAAATAAAATCTGCAAATGAAGGGAGGGGAAAAAAAAAGGGGGCGGTGGGGGCTAGGAAAAAAACAAAAATGTAAAGTCAAAAAAAAAGCGACCAGGGAAAAAAAAAGCGTGAAAAGACGGAATTGGTCCATACCATTCCACCTTATGAAAAAAAAAAAAGAGGTTAAAAAAAAAAACAAAAAAAAGAACATAAAAAAACGTTGGTAACAAAAATAAACAGAAAGAAGAGAAAACAAAAAAAAAAAGAAAGAAAAAAATAAAAAAAAAAAAAAAATAGTAGCAAAAAGCAAAATGAGAGTGTAAGAGTTAGAAAAAAACTAACAGTAAAAGAGAGAACAAATAAAAATATGCTGCGAGTAGTGCGTTAGTAAAAAAAAAAAAAAAAAACTAAATAAGGAAAAAAAAAAAAAAAACTAACGTAGTCAATAAAAAAAGAAAAAAGAAAAACTGCAAAAAAAAAATAAGAAAAGAAACTTAACCAAAAACAAAAAAAAAGAGAAAAGGGTGGGAACTAACAATAAGAAAAAAATATAAAAAAAACTTACAAAAAAAGAAAAAAAAGTAAAAGGAGAACACAAAAAAACACAAAAAACAATGGGCAACTAAAAGAGAATGAGCGTTTTCAAAAAAAATGTGGCACAAAAAAAAAAATGTTACAGCACAAAGAACCAAATAGACCCAACAGATACCAATTAAAAGTAAAAAAGAAAAAAGCACGCAAACAAAAAAGAAAAAAAACAAGAAATATGTAAAGGTTGAAAAAAAAAAAAAAAAAAAAAAACACAACAAAAACAAAAAAAACAAAAAAAAAAAAAAAAAAAAAAAAAAAAGTAAAAAAAAAGAGAAAGGTAAAGAGAGAAAACAAAAACCGTAAAAAAAAAAAAAAGTCTTTAAAACTCTGCAATAAACAAAAAAACATGTGAGAAACGCAAGATAATAAAGCAAAGAAAAGCTTGTTGAAAGGATTGAAAAAAAGAAACAAGCTAAGCGAAAAAAAAAGCAGAAAAGAAGGTAAGAGTACGAATGAGCAGAATAAAAAACAATGAAGTAAAGGTACAATCCCAATAAAGGGAAACAGAAAAAAAAAAAAAAGTCGCAAAAAAGCAAAGAGAAGAAATCAAAGACTAATTTAGCTGTAAATAAAAAGCAGAAAAAAGCTAAACGGCAAACAAAAAGAGAAAAGGAAAGCGAAAAGCAAGGAAGGAGATGAATAAGAAATAAGTGATCACTATGGGAAAAAAAAAACGAAAAGTGGAGGTTTGCCGTCCAAGTAAAAAAGAAAAAGAAAAAAGATATGGACAGACAAAAAACAGCAAAAGTAAGAGGTTAAGAAGAAAAACCATGAAAAGAGAGATAGGACGATGAGGAAACAAAAAGAAAGGGAAAGAAGGTCAAAGCGAAAAAAAGACAGAATAGGGAATTCACCGAAGCCGAGAGGGATGCAAGGTAAAAAAGAAGGCAAGAGAAAGAACGCCAGAATAGACGAGGTAGCTGGACAAGAGGACCTTACTACCCACAAAGTTCTCTAAAGGACGAGGGTAGAAATGAAAAAGAAGAGCCAGAAGGAAGTGGGTACAGAAGGGAGTCCAAAACGCAAAAGAAAAGTAACCGGCAAAGAATTTGAGTACAAAGTGCGATGGGAGAATGGGGGTTGGTAGAGTAAGCATCAAAAAGGGTTAACAGTGCCAAAAAAAAAGGAGAGAAAGAATTACCAAAGTAGAGAGCCAGTGGGCGACAGAGATCCTAGGGGTGAGATCCTAGAGAAAAGAAAGTTGCAAAAAAGATCATAAACCCCTAGGAAAAAATTACCGAGAGGAAACCCGCTGAAAGGTATAAGAGGCAATGAGGAGAAAACGGTGAACAAAAAGGTGACGATCTAACTCGAGAACTGGCTCTATAAGAGAAAAAATGAGAAAAAAAAAAAATCGAGGGTGCACAATTAAATTAAAAAGAGATTGAGAAAAACCAAGAGAAGACAAAAAAAAAATAAATAACGGAGGGAACTAGAAGACCTTAGTGGTTCAACATAAGAAACCTTCGAAGAAACAAAAAAGCAATTCCCTGAGAGCAGGACCCCAGGTCGGAGAATCTCGATACCTACAGCGTCTCTGGGGAAGATCCACCCTAAACGACGACCTACAGAAACTGCCCGCTCGAACCAGGCAGAGCGCTTCCCACCCCTGCAACCTCCAGCGCCTCTAGCCAGTAACCTCTAACTCATGCTCAGGGTTCTCCCCCATCATGCCTCTAGGGGTACACCTCATCAACAACAAGACAAGTGTTTAGACCTCTAACCCTCGTCCGTCCGCCCTTTATCAGAAGTTAAATTTCCCCTCACGCCTCCCCGCTTTACCTCTAATAACTTCTCTTGTCCCCGGTCTCTAGTGTTCCCCCCCCTCCATCTTTTATTCTCCCACCCACCTCCCTTTCCCCCCCTCTCTCCAAATCTTTCCAGCTCTCTCCCCACCTATTATCGCTCCCTCTCTCTCTCTCCCTCCCCCCCTCTCTTTCCCTCTGCCTCCCTCCTCCCTCCTCTCTCTCTCCTACCCCCTCCTCTACTTCCTACCCTCTCCTCCCCCTCTCTTCCCCTCCTCACACCCCCTCGCTCTTCTTCCCCTCTCTCTTTCCCTCCTCTATCCGCTCATCCCCCTCTCTCTCACTCACTTCTTTCATCTCCCCCCTCTCTCTCTTCCCTCCTCTATCGCTTCCTCTCTCTCTCCTCTCCCCCTCTCCCCCTCTATCTTCCCTCTCTCTTCCCCCCTCCATCTCTCTTCCCCCTCCCCCTCTCTCCTCCCATCTCCCTCTTCCCCCTCTCTCTTTCCCCCCTCCCCCCCTCTCTCCCTTTCCCTCTCTCCCCCCCCTCTCTTCCTCTCCCTCTCCTCTCTCTCTTCTCTCTCTCCCCTCTTTTCGCCTCTCTCTTCCCTCTCTCTTCTCCCCCCTCTCTTTCTCTCTTCCCCCACTCTCCCTCTACCCCCCTCCATCTTCCCCCTCTCTCTCTTCCCCTCTCTTCTCTCTCTCCCCCCCCCTCTTCCCTCCCTCTTATCGCTCCCCCCTACTCTCCCCCCCCCCGTTCTCTCCTCCCTCTCTCCTTCTTCTCATCTCCCTCTCTCCCCCCCTTTTCCCTCCCTCTCTCTTCCATCTCTCTCTCTTCCCTTTCCAGATCGCATGGGGCTGCACACACACCTCCTCCAAGGGCTCCTGATCCCCTGTGCAGCAGGAAGGGTGGCTGGGTGGGGGGGGGGGGTGCAGCCCCATACGATCTGTCAGTGTAGGGAGAGAGGCAGGGAGATTCCACAGAACCCAGCCCACAACACAGCTCACCTCCTCCGGGGCTCTCCTCTCCACCACTTCTCCTCTTCCTGCACCAGGCTGTCCCCTGGTCCCTAGCTGGTCAGCTGCTGGAGGGAGAGGTACAGGAGCATGTCTCTGCAACTGCCCTCCCTCACATCAATATTCCTGATTTCCAGGCCACTGCAAGGGTACCGGTGCGACCCCTCTGATGGTGGCCCTGCATGGCTCTGTCCGCTGATGCTCAAAAGGTCCCTTCTTCCGGGGGGCGGTACCGCCCCCCCTAGAAATTGCCGCTCTAGGCAAACGTCTTGTTTGCCTCGTGGTAGATACGCCCCTGGATCCGATCCATCCTTCGGGGATCGTCGGCATGCAACCTATGCGAGGTGACACCGGACCCGCTCCAAGAAAAGGTAAGTTGTAAAGAAAGCCGACGATCCCCACAGGACGGATCGGATCCATCCTGCGGGTATCGTCAGCTTGCTTTACAACTTACCTTTTCGTGGAGCGGGTCTGGTGTTACCCCGTGCGGTCAGTGTCACCCGGTGCGGCCCGCACCTGCCTCAGGACGCCACTGCCTACACCGAATGTATATCTGAATGAAGGAAAACAATGCTTAGGGATCGTGAGAACGCTTGACACTGTATTGGAACTTTGACTGATGCAATAAAATTGAGTTGAACTGAGCCTCTGGTGGCTTCTTGGGTCAGAAGTGGATTTCAGTGACCTTGCTGCTGAGTGTTGGGGGAAAGCGCATTAGTAGGATAAGCTAAACATAGTATCCTTTAGCAACTCCCACTTGGTAAAGAAGAATCCTGGTGTAACCTATGGTAACGCAAACCTTGTCTAGCTAGGGGTCAGTGGTGGATAGGCAGAAGGAGGTGCTATTCTGGAACCATGAGAAACCTTCAGGCCTGAAGAATCTGGTATCCCAAGCACAGAGACATACAGTTGTCAAGAGAGACCAGGAGCATGGTGAATGGGCTTGCAGTTCGGCCCCTGTCACTGGTATACCATGCTTAGGCAGACATATAAATCTGCAAAGGTGCTGGTTGCTACTCATGGCCGTGAGTGAACCTGGGTGAGCCCTGTATGCTGGGCGGGCCCCGTGGAGTGAGTAGTGGGCATGTCTGGTGTGAACAGGTGGTCTTGCCCACAAGTGGGGTGAATGCTTACAGAGCACCAGGGAATAAGGAGGAGCCAGAGATCCAAAGAAGTTTTTGAAATTTTTAGTAGCAAGTCTATTTCAATTCTTAACCTTAGCTTCACACCCCTAAGCGTTTTCTGCAGCATTTTGCAGAAACGCAGTACAGTCCATTTAACATGATTTCCTATGGGACATGTTCACATCTCTGCATTTTCACCCGGTGTGTTATTTGGAAAGGGTCAGGGACTTTTTTGAATGCAAAAAGTTGTTGTTTTGCTTCTAGAGATGGGAAACACTGCAGAAAAAGCATGTTTTGTGTTTTTGCTGCATTTTGTGATGTGTTTTGCTTTTTCAAATCTGCCTAGCAGCAAGAAAAATAAAAAAATGAAAGAAAAAATGGCAAAAACACGGCAAATACACGTAAAAAAACGCATGTGCAAAAACGCAATGCGAAAACAGCTCAAACGCAACCTGCATAGGTGGGAACCTAGCCTAACTGCTATTTCTTTATGCAGTAGCCAAAAACATGTCATCACATTTCCTCTTGTACTGGTCTGATTTAAAAAAACACTGGTTTTATCTTGTTCTGCACTTAAAAATTAAAAATTATTTGTAGAATATGGTAACTTCTGTCACTCTTCAGTATGGTACAGCTGCTAGAACGGTGCATGTTACTATTACTATTACACCTGAGTAATTTATCTGAATAATATAGTTCTCGTGAGTTATGTGGTGCATTCATCATGATTTATGTTCTTGCAGATGGAGTTTAATCACATTCAGAACAATAGTCTTAGCAGATATTTATTTTCTTGTTAGCACTTTTATTACTCATTTAGGGCTTGTTCACATGGGCGGCTGGGTGGTGATAGAAGCAGGTGGTTAAGTCATGATTTTACTCTCCCCTCTTCTTGACTGACCACCTAAACAAAGCAATGCATCCACTCAGAACTGTACCCGTGCTGCAGCTGCAATGCTTGCTTTGTGGCCACTGCAAAAGTCAAATCGGCTATAACTGCTGTCCTCTGGAAAATGGCAGTTACCTGCCTGCTAAAATGACCCACTTGCTGCATCATTTGAGTTACTGACCTCAGACAAGTATCTAGATCAGTTAAGCCAGAGTAAGGTTAAAGGTTCTATGTGTATACTTGTTCCAGTTTATTGATTCAAGGCAGACTGATTCAAAGACAGGGTAGAAAATTGTCTAAATAGTGCCTGCATTTAATCAGCTGCAAACATTGTTCAGGTATTCTTACAGCTGGCGCTTGGGGCTGTCAGAACACAAAGGAATGGGCTGGGGGGATTTGTCCATCCACCTTTTTTGTGTGGATGGAGGAATCTGTCAGATTTCTTCTGTTCAGCTTGTTGACTGAATAAAATAATTCTGTTAGTGTATGGCCAGCTATTAGGATCATGTTAATGTTAAGTTAGAGATAGGTCAAGGGTAAATACAAGAGCTTAGAATATGTTCTTCAACTAGCTTACTAAAATATAGCCTGTATACAACCTCCAAGCTAGAAGCTGAACTCTAAGCAGATAGAAGACACACATTAATGTACTGTAGCTCTGTAATCATTACTATATGATTTTTTTTTTCTACAAAAGCAGAATAAGTACCTAAATATGACCTGGTATCATACTTTCACAGTCTCTGTATATAGCAGAGCTGTAGTGTGAGAGGATGTAGCAGCATAAGCAGCCAATCAGTGTATGTACTGGCAAGAAGAACCATGATGATAGGAAGAGAAAACAGAATGAGAGGTATGACATACCACTGTGCTGCTTCCCCTTTTAATGTCCAGTAACAGGTGAAGGCTGGTCCAGGACAACCTTCCCCAGTGCGCTCCCTCTCTACCTGTCCACTGCACCCATCAAACAGGTAAGTACATGGCTGAGGAGTTATGTAGAAAGGGAGAGCAGAGTCTGATGAGGAACTGGGAGACATGTTCCCGATCAATTCTGCTTAACTGTTGAAACAGTGCACAGCAGTGGGTGGATCTATAGCCACTATTCAGTGCAATATTGGCTTCTGAACCCATCCACTGATGTGCGCTGTCATCCAAAAGTAAGATGTACCTGATGGGGAACTAGTTTCTCAGTTCCCCATCAGGCTCTGCTCACTCAATGACATAAGTCATTTATTAATTAAGGGCATTACCATATTTGAGTAATGACATTACCAGTATCCTCTGTACCTTTTTTACACTTACCTTTCATCTAGGGCGGGTGTCGGCAACCCGCGGCTCCAGAGCCGCATGCGGCTCTTTTTCACCTTTGCTGCGGCTCCGGAGCACACTGCCCACCAGGTGACAGGCAATAGGGTTGCCGTAGCTCAGTGGTCGGCAAGCCGCGGCTCTTTTAACCTCCCTGGCGGTTTTCCCGAGTGTAGCTCGTGGTAGAATTTCTATACCACGAGCTACACTCAGGCTTACCATGCGGCGCTGCTCTGGGGGTCCCTGCAGCACTTACCTTGTCCTTCGTTCCCGCGATGTGTCCCCTGCAGCGTCCCCGGCCATCTCCTCCGGCCGATGCCGGCATCCGGCTTCTGTGTTCCGGTCCCGTGACGTCGGGACGTACGGGCGCCGGCGGCGGCGGGAAATTTTAAAAAATTTAAAAAATGTCTTTTTTTTTTTTTTTTCAATTTTCAATAGTAAAACATTGCTGTTTCATCCCATTTCACATACATATTGTCCCTAGTGCTTTGTCCTGTGCCCTGCCTGCATTTTGTCTGTTCTTTCTGCCTGGAAACTTAGAAACGTCCATGGCGTCCAAAAAGCTTCCCTTTAGGTCAGACGCGGTTTTTTAGACCGGCTAGAGAACAGCGATAGTAAATCAGAACCACTTGCAGAATTGAGTGATAATGATTTGTGGGGAAATTTTCCTAAAAATTACAGCCTACAATAAAAAAACTATTTCCATGCGAAAAAATGGTACCGCTTTCAGCACAAAAAATCGGAAGGAATCATACCGCCAGGGAGCTTAATGCAGCTCTTCTGTGTGCCGGGCGCCCGCTCCCCTCCCTCCTCTCGGGCGGCCGCCCCAAAGTCAGGACTCTGCAGCTAGCCTAGCAATGGGCAAACTACGGCCCGGCGGACCTTATAATCCGGCCCGCGGAGCATGGCAAACATTGGCTGTCAGGATGTAGGCGGGGCAGCATGACGAACTCCTCTCCTCTCACAGTCCGCCCTGAAGACCAGAACTGCGCGGGAACACGGCGAGAGGAACGCGCGGAGTACAGGTAAGTGAATTGACACAATATGGGAATGAATTACTATAGGGGGGATGAATTACTATAGGGGGGATGAATTACTATGGGGGATGAATTACTATATGGGGGATGTATTTTCAGTTTTAAAAATGTGGCTCTCAAAATAAATTTTAATCGTGGTTTTGGCGAGATTTGGCTCAGTTTGAAAAAAAAGGTTGCCCACCACTGACCTAAGGCTATGATTGTGATTATGACGATACACTGTGGCCCTGATTAACCCTTTGCTTACTGGGCCCTTAAACCCCCTTCATGACCAGAGCGCTTTTTGCAATATATGCAGTGTCGGATTTGTTTTAAATGTTGCAATGGTTTTGCGGCTCCCAGTCTTTTTTTCCCTCTCGGAAACGGGTCCAAGTGGCTCTTTATGTCTTAAAGGTTGCAGACCCCTGATCTAGGGTATATCCAGGTCAATAGTTGACAGCTGACAGCTTCCCAGCACAGACATGCCTCACTTTGAGTACTTGTGTACTGCTGGTCTTAAATACCTCAAGTTTCCTAATCTGTGAACTGGCGGTAATTCTTTATGAATTTGATACTGCCATAGCAACAATTTCTTAAAGTGGTGATAGTTCTTATCCATATGCTATGGAAATGTCCCAAATTGGTAAGATATTGGTCCCATATTAGAACAATGATCAGTAAGATGTGGAGTCTTAATGTACCATTAGACCCCAAGCTTTGTCTTTTGGAAGTTCTGGATAAGGAGCTGTATACTCCGCATGTCTATATAGCCATTCTTAGGCAGGCCATAGACGGGTCGTTTATCGGCCGAATTTTCGTCCGCATGAAAAATCGGCTGATATTCAAGTCGTTAGTGGAGCCTGCCCATCAGCCGTTTTTCACGGATCTTCTCGTTTAGTTTTACCGGTCATGCTGGAAAATCCACGAAAAATGGCCAACATTGGTGGCAGCATCGGCAATGGGGCCGACCGATTATTCGTTTATCGGCTGCAAATTCGGCAGATAAACGGCCCGTCTATGGCCTGCATTAGAGTGCTGTTTATTGCTTGGAAGCTTATAGCTCAGAAATGGTTATCTCCCACACCTCCTTCCATATTCAATGGATTAAAGCTGTTAACGATAATCTAATTAGAGAAAGAAAGTTTATCAACATAGAGGATGTGCTCTGAAATGTATTAACATCTGGGATGCCTGGTTTGTTACACCAGGATTAGCACCAACACAATTAGTTAAGGACAGGCTGTTAAGTGGTGGAATCTCTTGGGGCCTACTGTGAGATAACTATTGTCCCATCAACCCTTGAATAGGAATTGGTGATATAGCTGTATACATATGGTAAAAATTTGCTTCCGGCAGATGTTGAATTGGAATTTCTATCTACTATATTGCGCATGGATGAGCTGAGGGGGTTTGACTCTTAGAATTCAGTTCAGTGGAAGGCTGGTTTTTGTTAGATTATTTTGGTTTTAAATTTCATGCTCATTTTCTTCTCTTTGTTTTCTTTCAGTTTGTCTTGAAGTTTTTTTTTTTTTAAAAAAAGGACGTGGAAAATGTTGTGGTTTGGAATCTATGTTTATATCTTTGGTATACATGACTATGTACTCTTTTTACATTGTAAAGCTATAAATTGTTGATACCAATGCCACACTACTGGAGATTACGGTTGATTGATTATATTTATACATGGATCCAAGTTTCAATAAATAAAAAAGTGGTGATAGTTAGAACTTCCTGAATTTGTCACCAATGTCAGTAATGTTGCCAAAAACTGGCACAAATACTTGCCTGAATTAGTTGCAGTTAGTTCTAAAGGGAACTTATCACTGAAAAGTGATGTTAATACTTTAATGAATGCCCCAGGATGTTCTTCAAGTCCAAAGAAGATACCATTATCTATACCAGGGGTGGGCAAACTTTTTGACTTGAGGGCCGCAATGGGTTCATATATTGGACCCGGGGGCCGGACCAAGAGTAGATGAATGATGTGTATGTGTCATCCATAGTAAGTATAGTAATATTCCCCCATAGTAAGCATAGTAATTAATCCCCCATAGTAATTCATCCCCCATATAGTAATTCATCCCCCATAGTAATTCATCCCCCATAGTAATTCATCCCCCATATAGTAATTCATCCCCCATAGTAATTCATCCCCCATATAGTAATTAATCCCCCATAGTAATTCATCCCCCATATAGTAATTCATCCCCCCTATAGTAATTCATCCCCCCTATAGTAATTCATTCCCCATATTAATTCATCCCCCATATTAAGTCCCCAAGTCTCCCCTGTGTCAATTTACTTACCTTTGCTCCGCGCGTTCCTCTCGCCGTGTTCCCGCGCCGTTCTGGTCTTCAGGGCGGACTGTGAGAGGAGCCTAGCTCCCCTCACGTTCGTCACGCTGCCCCGCCTACACACATCCTGACAGCCATCCTGACAGTATCACGCTCCGCGGGCCAGATTAAAAGGTCCACCGGGACGTATACGGCCCGCGGGCCGTAGTTTGCCCATTGCTGATCTATACACTAAGTCTTACCAATAGTCTTTTTGGGTCTTCTGCAGCAAGGGAGAGCCAGTGCCAGTAAGTGTTTTGGTATTTTAGATAAACACATTTTACTGTTAAAATACTCAACCAGGATAAATCATGGTAGTGATCTTTATAATATTCATATGATCTAAAAGGAGAATACAATACCTTCTCTCTTTAGTACTCCTCTTGACTTCAGACCCTTGTAAAGTGGCCCTGATCTTCAGAATATGAGATAAGTTCAGGACATATTTACGTTCTGATTCCAGAAGGTCCTTGGCAGCGCTTTGCCTCCTTGCTTCATGTCAAACAAATTCAGAATAAATTACACTTTTACATAATCAACACAAAATTAAAAATACCTGTTGAGATAGAATAATACTCAATTTCTGACATATATAACAGTTAAATACAGTGTATAGTTTAGGACAGAGAAGTCATAAAAGTAGTTTAACAATAAGCATGTAATTACAGAAACTCAAATAGAGCATAAAATGTGATGTGTTTTATTAATTCATATAAGGAAATACTTGAAAAATTTGGGATACTTATTTTGCAGATACTGTAAATGGTATTTAAACATCCAATATCAGTTTTCTTAATCATTATTTCCTTAGGAGGAAAGTTACAGTGGTTGTAAACCTCTGACATGACAAATTAGCAAAGCATATGCTTCTATAGTGTGTACTTGCCTTGCCTTGATCAAAAGCACTGAGTGTTATTTCTGTGTGCAGTTTGGTTTCTCTGCCATATGCACAAGTAATTTATGGTAGGCTGTGCTGTTTCCAAGGGATCAAAGTGAAACAAGCGAGGGGATCTCCAGGACACAGCCTGTGACTGACAGCCTTACTTGTGCAGGTTTCCCTATGAGATTGTGTAGAGAGGAGGGGTGGCCATTCCTGCCACACAGTCTCAGATTACTCTGATCTCCTCTCTGAGCTGTGCAGTGTGTGACATCAGATCCCTGCCCCTTTTCCTGCTAACAATCAGAAATCCTGTGTAAACTGTACTCTTTGAATGGCTGTGTATAAGAGGTGACTGAAGATAAACAGGTACAACTTATGTAGGAGGATTTGCTTCATCTCTGTGTATCCCTTGAGGCAAGCCACTTCACTGGGTATATGTAAGGGTTTACAACCACTTTAAGAGAGTAGTCTCTATTAAAGTCTCTATTGTTCAGGAATATAGCTGAAAACTGGAATAAAAAACAATGAGGCAGATTTACCAAAGAGGTTGAGATGGTTTGTACCTAAAATATATGAAGATTCACTTCAGTTATTGAATGTAAACAGAAAATCTCTGTTTACTTCATCTGCAACTAATTGTATTATTGAAGTTAATCTTCACACAATTTATTGTGTGAACATTATCGTCTTTGGTAAATCCGCCTCAATGAATGCCCAATTTTTTCCTGCCAGAAGGGAACGTATTGCTTATGTGGCATAATCTTTTGAGCCCTAGGTGACAGAGCAGCCAAGACTTTTGCCATTTGTGTGGCGAGCACTGTGAAAAAAAACACTCTCAACCAGAATGCAAGGGTGCATTGGTTTGCCTGTGAACAGGCCTAGTAAGTGCAGAAATTTCCCACAGTGGAGGCTAAAGAACAAGGTAAGGTAAAAAACCTTGTCCTGTTATTTCTGTGAATGACAACACCTGAAACTATTTTAACCTTACCCCATTGCAGAAACTGCTGTACACGTCTATTGTAATCTTGGATATAGAATCTGCTGAAACCTGCTATAGTATATAGTTTAATAATTTATCTAATATATTTTTAATCTGATTTACCCAATGTAACCCTCAGGAACTGGTGCATGGTTTCTCTTAACAAAGAACACAAACTAGTCATATTAAGGTTATAAGGTGACCATGGCTAAGTCGCCATTCCTTTGCTTCCAAAAGTAGAAGTTCTTTTGCAAATCTTCTGCAAGATACAGTATGTGTTAATATTTAAACCTTATGGATAAAAAATATTCACCCTGGATAGTTTAATTTTTCTCTTTGTACTTTATAACATCTAATTTGAGGACAGCTGAATCAAACTCCAGCTTCTGCTTAAGCCCTACTTTCCCTTTCTATTCTTCCCTCCTTTAGCCCTCTTACTACTTCTATTTTTTTATTTTGTCACTTCTGATTTTCTCTTCTTCTGTACTCCTTTCACCTTCCTAACTTGCTTAGTTACCGAGGTCCCTAAATTTTATTTATTTATTTTTTCCACTCTGATCACTTTTTCTTTCTATGCTTAGAGTTTTATGCACTCTTTTATAAAATGAAATAATATTAAATGAAGAATATTTACAGTATTCAACTCTTATAATACATAGTGGACTTATTGTTTTTTTTGTGTGTTATTATTTTGATTTATTGCTGGTTTATAAAATGTAATACTACTGCATTATTAAAAAAATAATTCTGTTGTAATGCATATGTGCAATGCGTTTTTTTGCAATTCTATATTTTAAATTTTTTTTTTTTTTTAAAGTATCCCTATTTAATCATGGAGCTAAACTGCCCAAATAAACAAAACAAAGTGGAATAGAAACAACTTTTATGGTAATTTTGGCAGATTACCATCAAACCCAGACATGGTTATGAATTGTGTTGTATCACTATAGTGACCAACCTTAAGAGGCTTCAAACATTAACAACACATATCAGGAATTAAAATTTCATTCTAACTTATAAACAGTGCAAAGTAAAATATTGTAGAGAGAAAAGGAAGGGTGAAAGAGGCATTAGTGTTCAGAGAGGGGGAAAAAAGGGAGGGAGAGGTTAAAGAAGGACTGAGAGGGAGCCTCTGAGACTGCAAGATGACAAGAATAAAAAAATTATTCAGAAGAGATTTTCCTTAATCAGAAAAGATGAATGCATTGCAGTCGAACCAAGTCTTCAAGTAGCGCTCATGTCTAAAATTATCTTTTTTTTAGCAGGAAATTTTTGCTTTTACTTGCTCCCCGCAAATTAGGTGTTAAATACTAATTTAAATGCTAATAATGCAAATTTTAAAGTTTTAATTCCAGATGTTATTCACATTGCTTGTAAAATATACTTCACAGTGTTTATCAAGATGATTAAAAAATAAAAACGAATTCTAAAAATTGGCTAAGAATGGTTAACAACACCTTTCTTTGTTTCTTTACCCTTTTTAAATACAGTTTCCTAAAATTGTGTGTTCCATTAAATTGAAATAAAAAGGGGGATGCATGCACAACACACACTGATCAGATATAAGATTTGTAAGCTCCATTCCTGTAGTGACTAAGTTCAGCATAAATGAGCTCTCTAAACATGGCCCATTTCAGGGCTACCTTACCTGACCTTCGATCTAACCAAAAAGGAGTCGGATCATGGTGGTTCTTGTCCCACAAAAGGCTTCCCAAACAAATTGGCTATCACAGGATTCTGCCTAAGGAGTACCCATCTTCTCAATCATCTGCACCCTACAAGATGACACCTGGACTCATTTCAGGGCATGAACACTCCTGACATTTGCCTGATCCAAACTCCCAGTTACAAATACAAGCTCAGGCTAAACCTTAGGCACAATTTGCAACAGGAACTGTCCCAATGAAAGCACTAGCTGCACTGAAGTTCTTAAATACAAAGTGCTAATTCCCTTGCAAAATCAACAGCCTTTTTGTAAATGGTAAATCAACCCTCTTCATTTATATAACACTCTTCATTCTTTGCTGGATTCCTTTTTTTTTTTTTTTTGGTGTGGTAACTGCACAATTTGATATTACCCAATTGCCCAGACTAGTTCAGGTATGTATGGATTGGTGAAATAAAGGAGTTCTCCACATGTTCTCAGGAGTATCTGTATCCAAGCAGAAACTTAAGTTGACGGCAGTCTTCATTAAACAAGAATAATTTGTTGAAGGTTCAAAATTATTTGCTAAGTTCGGGGAATTTTATTTATTAGGACTAATGACAGACACAATAAATATAAATAAATTGCATCGGTAGTTCAAATTAATTTATATTTATTTTATTTACAGAAAAATATTTTATACTTAAAGCTGACAGAAAAATAATTGGGCAAATCATAATCAAAATAAATAAATTAAAAATAAAAAGGTATACTATCTAACAATAGATAATTAATGATAAAGTATAGCTAAAGCTAGCACTTTTTGTCTAGGCTCAAAAAGAGTAGGGATGTTTTTCTGCTGTCTGCATCCCATAAGGGAAATATTCCTTTAATATCTGTGTCAGAGGGAGGGATAGGAAATGTTTGCAAAGTGAAAGTACAACCACCCCTAGAAACAAGCCACTGAAACACTAAAAAGGGCCTACTTTAAAAACATTTCTCCTCTATTTCTGGTTCTGATGACAACCCAAATATTGCTAATATTGTTTTTCATATTACTTTCTGTCCTGGTGACCATGGTAGCAGGGACACAAAAAGTAATGAGTAGAGATGAGCGAATTATTCAAAAATTCGATTCGGCTGATTCGGCGAATTCGCGGAATAAATTCGATTCGAGTCGAATATATTCGCTGCGAATTTAACTTATAAAAAGGGTGCTTCTAGGCTTCAGAGAGCCTTTATATTAGTGCAGAACACTGTACCTTTAATTTAAATGCCCTTGGAGTCTGCTGGGGAAGAGAAATAATACTGTCAGTCAGTATGACTTGCAGATGAGTGCCGTCGATCTTAGAATCACCGCACACTTCACTCATTTGGGCAGTCACGGGGCCAAAACCAGAGTGTGGAGCCACAGTGTGGCGGTGGAGGCAGCAGCAATGGGAGGCCATACAGCACCCTATGACAAAATGGAACCCACCAGCAGTGTGAGGAGACCTGAAAGTGGCACATGGCAGAGTGTGGCGATGGAGACAGCAGCAATGGGAGGCCGTACAGGGACCCATGACACACTCTGGACCTGGCAGCAGCATGAGGAGGCGGTACAGGGGCCCATGACAGATTACGGGCCTGGCAGCAGCATGAGGAGTCGGTACGAGGGCCCATGGCAGATTACGGGCCTGGCAGCAGCAATGGGAGGCCATACAGCACCCTATGACAAAATGGAACCCACCAGCAGTGTGAGGAGACCTGAAAGTGGCACATGGCAGAGTGTGGCGATGGAGACAGCAGCAATGGGAGGCCGTACAGGGACCCATGACACACTCTGGACCTGGCAGCAGCATGAGGAGGCGGTACAGGGGCCCATGACAGATTACGGGCCTGGCAGCAGCATGAGGAGTCGGTACGGGGGCCATGGCAGATTACGGCCTGGCAGCAGCAATGGGAGGCCCGTAATCTGCCAGCACCCTATGACAAAATGGAACCCACCA